AGGGAGTCAAAGTCTGCTTTTCTGAAGTCCAGGGTCCGTATTCTGCTGCTCTCCTTTCTTCCCTGTGACAGGATCCTGAACTTGATCATCTCATGGTCACTGCCTCCTAGGTTCCCATCCACTTTAGCTTCCCCTACTAATTCTTCCCAGTTTGTGAGCAGCAGGTCAAGAAGAGCTCTGCCCCTAGTTGGTTCCTCCAGCACTTGCACCAGGAAATTGTCCCCTACCCTTTCCAAAAACTTCCTGGATTGTCTGTGCACCGCTGTATTGCTCTCCCAGCAGATATCAGGGTGATTGAAGTCTCCCATGAGAACCAGGGCCTGCGATCTAGTAACTTCCGTGAGTTGCTGGAAGAAAGCCTCGTCCACCTCATCCCCCTGGTCCAGTGGTCTATAGCAGACTCCCACCACGACATCGCCCTCGTTGCTCACACTTCTAAACTTAATCCAGAGACTCTCAGGTTTTTCTGCAGTTTCATACTTGCGCTCTGAGCAGTCATACTGCTCTTTACATACAATGCAACTCCCCCACCTTTTCTGCTCGGCCTGTCCTTCCTGAACAGTTTATATCCATCCATGACAGTACTCCAGTCATGTGAGTTACCCACCAAGTCTCTGTTATTCCAATCACATCATTGCCATTACTTCTGCGAGAGGGGGTGAATGAGATCGGGGCACTCATGGCCGATCCTCCTTACACAGTATTCTTCATGCTACCGGTCACGCTACGTCCACACCCAAAATACCTACCGAAAGTAACATCAGCCTTCCATATGAATCAACCAATCCATCTTCCCACTTTCTATCCCAAGTCTCACGGCACTCCAGCAGAGGCTGTTTTACATACATTGGACATTAGGCAGGCATTAGCGTTTTACCTGGAAAGGATCAAACTGTTCTGAAAATCTTCTAGACTTTTTGTTTCTCCTGTCAAGCATTTGAAAGACTGCTCAGTATCCACTCAGTGATTGTCTAAATGGATCTCCATATGCATTTAACAGTGCTATTGTATTCAGAACATGGATCCTCCTACGCACCTCAGAGCGCATTCCACGCGATCTGTTTCTACCTCAATAGCGTTTCTCAACATTTTTCCGATATTAGAGATTTGTAGGGTAGCCACTTGGGCCTCTGTCCACACATTCCCTGAGCACTATGCAATCATTCAAGACTCCAGAGCTGACACCATAGTTGGCCTAACCGTACTTACCTCTGTGACTCACATGAACCCAAAGACCCTCCTGCCTTCTGAGGAGCACTGCTCTGCTGTCACCTGAAGTAGAGCATGCACAGGGACAGCACTCGAAGAAAAAGAGGTTACTCACCTTGTGCAGTAACTGAGGTTCTTTGAGATGTGTGTCCCTGTGGGTGCTCCACTACCCATCCTCTTCCTCTCTACTTTGAAGTTTGCTGCTAGGACTCTATGGTAGAGAATGAACTGGAGGGCTTGGATTATACTCGCACTAGATGCGGCACCAATGGCACCACAAGATGCCTACTGTGCACGCATGACCCACACGGACATTGCGACCATAAATCTCCGATTGACAGTGCCAGGACGCACCAGCACCTGAAGTGGAGCACCCACATGGACACATATCTCGAAGAACCTCAGTTACTGCACAAAGTGAGTAACCTTCTCTTCCTGGCCTACTCAGACAGCCTTCAGCATGCAAATTCATTCCCAGCTAAATACATGAGCGCCCTGACCAGTCATTCTTTAATTACATACAGGGCAATGCCTGCACATTCTTAGTCCTAGCCTTGTCTCCCAGAAATTGTACTGTCCAGCAATCTGTTGAATAATGCAAGCTCGCAGAAGGTCCATCATTTCATCAAAGGAAAATGATAATGAACCAGCCTTGTTATCCAAAATGGTTTTTCCAACACACAGTAATCAAAACACATTGATTAAGATAAAGCAAAAAATAAGTTTACTAGCTACAGAAAGATAGAATTTAAATGATTACAAGTGATGATGCATAAAAGTCAGGATTGGTTACAAAAGAAAATAAAAACATAAAACACAAGCTAGTACCTAACTTAACAAGCCAAGTGAACTTAAAAGCAGTTTTTGTCTCACCATACGCTGCGGTAAATTTCACAGGGTGGGTCTCCTTTCAGCCGGGGACCCCTCCCCGCAGTTCAGTTCTTTGGGTCATTCATGACATGAGCAGGGATGAAGGAGGAGAGAGATGAAGTGGAGGCCACTGTCTCTCATTCTTATACCACTCCCCCCACTTTGAGGATTATCCCCGGCTGGGTGGAGGTAAAGGTTGAACTGTCATTGAGAGGAAATGTAGATTTCTTGTCTACACCTTCCCATTACTGGAGAATGACTGCTTAAGTAAGTGATAGCTCTTTAACACCTGGCTGGGTGTTAGTCTGTTCTTTGTTCTGAAAAACTGGTTTGGGCCTGCTTTTTTTAAACTGAGCATGTTACAGCAAGGATACATAATAGAATCTTCTAACTTCACATACGGTGCTGATAACACATACTTTACCAGGACAGTAATGTTCTGCAGATTATAAGTTTTCAAATGATACTTCACAAAGCATACTTTGTACAAAATTTATCATAGTCTTGTAAAAGTGGTGAACGTAATAGTATAGACCATCACTCATGCTTTATCCAGACTAAACATCTCTCCATCTGATGGCATGGAGAGTCTCTGGTTAATGTCAGCAGGTAGGGAGCATTCAGCAGAGACCCAGAGAATCCGTTTGGAAAATAAAAAACCCTCAACTAGAAAATCATATATGGTGGAAGTGTTTTTCCTTAGGAGTGAGGGCAAGACAACGTGACACTCTTCAATCATCCATTCCAGTTATTCTGGACTCTCTGGTTTATCTTTCAGCTTCATTATAATTTACTTGCAGTGATTTTGGCCTGTCATTTGCCTGTTCACGTCTCTTCCATAAGAATCTATTGCAGATGTTTCCACCAGTAAGAAAGATACTAGCTTCATGGGATTTGAACCTAATCCTTACCTCTCTAATGGAACCTCCATTTGAGCCTCTGTCCTCTTGTTCCCTTCATCATTTATCTATTAAAGCTATATTTTTGGTGGCTATTCTTCTGCATAAAGAGTAAGTGAATTTCATGCACATATATCATCCTCCATCCCCCATGGTTTTACATGCAGACATAGTGACTGAGCCCTCACCCTACATTTATTCCAACAGTGGTTTCAGACTTTCATGCTAATTGATATATTCAGTTTAGTGATGTCTTGGAAAATTACAGATAATCTTCCAGTGAATCTAAACTTCATACATTGGATGTTAAGAGGAGGGTGTTGTATTATAGCACCATTCAGAAGATCTCTTAGACTATTCATCACATGTGGCAGTACATCTAGAGGTAGACCAACCTGATCTCTGCTCAAAGACTTTCAAATGGATTGTGGACAGTATTAGAATATCGCATGATATTAAAAAAATACTATTTCTCGTTCATGTTATTGTTCATTCCATGAGAGCCTAGGCTACACTGGTGCCATGTTTCAGTAGAAAACTAACTGTGGAGCTCCCTAGAGCAGTCACATGGTTCTCAATGAATATATTTACCAGGCATCATTCTCTGGTGTCAGCATCAGGAGCTGACGCACAAGTCGGGAAAGCAGTTCTGGAATTTTTATTCAGATGAGTTCCCAGCTCCCACCACTTGGAACCAAATTGTTAGCTAAACACAATGACCGAGATCCTCACCGACACAGACTCGAAGGCAAAAACCACCATTACTTACCTTATAGTAACTCATTCTTTGAGATGTTCTCTGCATGTGGATCCCATGACTCCCCATTCTCCCCGCAACTCCCTCCATCCCTGCCCCTCAGAGAATCTTAATCTGTATTCTGGGGGGTGAAGGAGCTGAATGGTAGGGTCTATCCTTTATACCAGGGGTGGGCAAACTTTTTGGCCTGAGGGTCACATCGGGGTTTCGAAACTGTATGGAAGGCCGGGTAGGGAAGGCTGTGTCTCCCCGGACAGCCTGCCCCTCACCTCCTATTCACCCCCTCCCACTTTCCACCCCCTGACTGCCCCCCTCAGAACTCCCAACCCATCCAATCCCCCCTGCTCTTTGTCCCCTGACCTCCCCCTCCCAGGACCCCCTGACCCTAACTGCCCCCCCAGGACCTCACCCTCTATCCAACCCCCCGTTCCCTGTCCCCTGACTACCCTGACCCCTATCCGACCCCCTGACAGGCAAGTTGAGGCTGCAGGGGAGGGGCCGGGGGCTAGCCTCCCTGGCCGGGAGTTCACAGGCCAAGCAGGATGGTTCCACTGGCCGGATGTGGCTGCGGGCCGTAGTTTGCCCACCTCTGCTTTATACCCTGGGGAGGGAGTCCAAGGGTGTGAAAGACGCATATGTGATCCATAGTGGACAGAACTGATAAAACTGCCAAACTCCTGTGCAGAGGGTACATATGCACCATGAGTGAGATCCACATACACAGTACATCTCAAAGAACAATGGTTACTGTAAGGTAAATAACCGGTTTTTACAAGGGAGTAATCTCTCTTTACCACAGTGAATGAAAATCAGTGAAAAGGATTAGTTTTTGTTTCCTATTTTTGTAGACAAAAGGACAAATTTAAACTCTTCTGTGTATGACATTACTTAGTACTTAGTGAATTTTCTCTAATGTACCCCAGAGGAGATAATGTACTTGAGGCCAATTTCATAAGCAGTTTGTTGGTGTAGTGGGATAAATGTAGAAGAATTTACAACTGGCATTAGAAACACTACCCATCATGCACTGATTTCAGGATTAAAGGGTTTGCCAAGAGTGCCAAGGTTATGGGCTATATTCTGTCTGTCATGAGCTTCTAGAAGTGATGTGTATGTGATTGAAGAATAGTTGTGAGTGCAAGCATCAGGGTGAAGACAAGGATAATGAACTATAAATCTGTTTGTTTTTTTTTAAAAACAGACTCCAATCTTGTGTTGTATACTACATAAGGTGTGTGTTAATTTAATTTATTCCTGTGATACAGGTTCCAGACTTTCCAAAGGAGGTGGAGATACGAGCACTGATCGAAGGACAGTTCATGGCCAAGAGGATTCATGCTGAAAAGCTGGGATATAAAATCAGTAAGTGTGATCTGAAAAAAAAACAAAAACAGCAGAGGCAATGGAACCTAAGATCAAGCACTAACAAGAGTGGTTCTGACTGTAACGCAGATGGTAAGGTTGTTATCTTGCCTGACAGGTACTGAAACTGTTGTGAGTTTTGACTTAGGCTCTTGTTAAATGCCATTCTTGACTATGCAAAAAGGAGCCTGATTCTAGCAGATGCTGATTTAATTGGGGATGATGAAAGTCTCTCAGAATCAGGCTGTAGATTATTTCTTGAGGTATCCTGGCTAATTCAATGTATTAGGCTTCACTAATAACTTTTAAACTAGAATTTTTGTTAAATGAGAGGAAGGATGGTCTTGTGGTTAAGACACTAGACTTGAGATTAATACATCTTTGTTCAGTTCCTGGCTTTGTCATAGGAATTTCTGTGTGACTTTGAGCAAGTTACTTAATCTGTGTGTGCCTCAGTTCCCCATCTGCAAAGTGGAGATAATGATAGTTCCTTTCTTTCACCCTTTGTCTGTCTTGTCTATTTCAACTGTAAACTCTTTGGGGCAGGAACATTCTCTTACTTTATGTTTGTACAGCATTTAGCACAATGAAGCACCAATCTTGGTAAGTATTGTAATGTAAATAATAAATGGTAAATTTTAGGAAAAGGTAACCACATTAAAAAATCATGGGCTTAAGTTTTTGCCTGTTGTTCTCCGTCATGTTTATCTTGGAGACACATGCCTCTTTCAAGAGTACTCTATTAATTTAAAACTAAATAATTAAAATCCATCCCTCACAGTTATCCCTTTGTATCAGTACAATTGAGAACAGACTGGCTCAGGATGGCCTGTATTTTTGCTTAGCAGGGTACAGTTAAAGATTTATATAAAAACAAAGGCCACATAGGAGACAGGTGAAAAAGCTAGTGGTAGATCCACTTTTAAATGGGGGATATTTCAGTGGGTGATGGGGAGGCATGTCTGATGCCACCAGCTTCAATATTAACATAATAGACTGTCTCCATAAATCAAAGTGTAAACATAAGTCACCATCACCCCTGTCAGGCAAAAATGGGCCTTTACCATTCTCTAACCGTCAATAGACTATGGGCTATCTTACGTATGTGGGGGAAATATGATGTACCAAGAACACCTGCCTCCAAGCCCTCCCCACCAGATCTGACATTCATATCTAAGAACTTTTCACAAGAACATCTCAGCTGATATCTTCCATTGTTGTATTCGGTGTAGTTGTAGCCCTGTTGATCCCAGGATATTACATAGACAAGGTGGGTGAGATAATATCTTTTATTGGACCAACTTCTGTTGGTTGTCTTGTCTGTCTCTCATCAACAGAAGTTGGTCCAATAAAATATATTACCTCACTCACCTTGTCTCAGCTGATATCAGCTGTTATGAATTTAGATCTGTATCACCCTTGCCATTGAACCTTGGATTGCAATCACAGTCCTCCTGCTGAGGCAGACTGGATTGGACCTGGTCAGACCCTACAAATGCTACTCTTCAATTAACTAGAGGGGTAGCTGCTGAGCTACAGAAAGCATCCCCGTCTTCCAGGGTGCCCTTTGGCAACACTGAATTGAAAGGCTGGATCTGGAAATAAAACCTGGGTCTCCTGCACTGCAGTACTGCTCGTCCATTAGTCTGGCCTTTTTTTGATGATTTAACATCCCATGACTTCTGTTTTAAAGCAATACTTTAGCTTATTACAACATAACTCCCCCGCTCCCTCCAGCTGAATATACCCCAACATACATGTTATACTCTATTGTTATCAATTGTGTTGTGGCAGAACCTATATGCCTCAGTCAGAGATCAGGACTCCATTGTACTTGGCACCATGTCAGTGTTGGCAACCCAAACATTCCAAAATTATAAGTCAGGTCCCCAAAAGTCATCAGATTGGCTTAGAAATAATAAGATTTTTTTTTTAAAAGAATATATTTTGGGATCTTTTTCTTTGCCTTCTGGTTTACCTTTAGGGTCCACTTGGGTCATGTTTTCAAGCTGTTCTCTACAGCCATGAGGACTCATACCTTTTTCTAAAAATGAAAGCTGAGATTTTTATGTTAGCATGTGACAATAGGAACTGGGGCTTCAAGAAAAACATCAAATATCACGAGACTCATGAAAAAAATCACAAGATTTGACAATACTGCTTTGTAAACACAAAAAAAAGATGCTGTGTCGTGGAGACAACACACCTGCTTATTGGTGTCAACATTAAAATACATTGTATTTTAAATGTCCATTTATACCTCATTCTTGAGATGACTATTTATAATATCTGAGTGTGACACTGTCCCTTAAATTGTATCTTCCCAACAGATGCTATGGAACATTTTGATTCTTGTTTTGTTGCATCAAGATAAACTTTCAGCTATGTAATTACTAAAAGATGAGTTTAAAAAGAACTGCTGGCCCTTATTGCTAATTTTATGCATTTCCTGCTTTTTTCCTCAATGCTGTTATTTATTTAAATGTGATGCTCTATTTCGGTAGTGATGGCACTGTCTCAACTTTTTTTTTTTTTTTTTTGGTAAAACAGTTCTGAAATGGGAAAAAATACAGTGTGTTTTAGGGTACTGATATGATCATAGTACTATAAATATGTTTAGTTCCCCTGCACACAAGATACTCCTTCTCTTGTTTGTTTTGGTAGCTGTCAGTTTTTATTTTTAGTGATTCTTGATGAGATGTTTAAAAGTCTGTTTATCTTTTGGAAGAAGTATATAACTATAGTCACTTGTGTTCATTAAATATAGCACATTTAGGCCTTGTATACATGGCGGATTTGCCCAGATTCCAGGAATTGAGTTGATTTACATCCACTACTGTAGTTGTATCAGTGCAAACTGCAGCTTTCCTTAATCGACACTTTTGCACAGGTGCAGCTACAATGGTAATTCCTGCCAATTCCTGGAATTGGGAAAAATTCCTCAATTTAAACAAGGCCTTAGTAGGAGATGGGGTAGACATGATCTAGTACAATTTACACCTCTATATGGTGTTTTGAAATTTATAGGAACCAATTCTTGGTGGTACAAATGAACCAGAAAACTGGTTTAGCTGGCTACCTGATAATTTCTCCATCCAGCCCCAGAATATGGGAGTCACAAAGGGTATGTAAAACCATTTTTGTACCCCGATCTTCCCTGCCCCTCAGATCCTGTGCCAAGTGCAGCTTGATTGGACCCAAGAATCTGGGTTGTAATCTTAAATGCAATGGAAGATGGATAAGCCAGAAAGCCTCAGAGTTTGAAGGGAACTTGTTTAAGGATATTTCCTGTCTGCTAGAGTGCCTGGATGAGTAACAAACAATATAAACATTGGATAATCCACTGTAACTTAATGTCATTTTATGAATTAATTTGTCAACTTTATAGAAAAACTAAAAATCGCTTTTATTTATAGAAACTGGTTCTGTAGTAGAAAAAACATAGTGACACTGCGAAATCATAGTTTGTTTATTTAGTTGTGTTTCCAGTTGCAGCTATCGAAAACTCTAGGTGCATTTCATACTTTAAAAAAATCTTTGGCAAAAGTCTAATTGCAAAAATCTTAAAACAACCCTGTACTTGCCATGTGTATATGTTCATGTGTGCACATATACACATTCCTGAAAACAAGTTGCTTATTTACCAGGAGAGGGCGGTAGATTCCATCTCATGCTTTTATTTATTTATTTATTTATTTTACTGAAACCAAGATATATATTTTTTGTGTCTCAACCCTGTTTTTAAAACTGGCAAAGTCACCAGATGGTACTTGTGAGAAAAGTTAGACCTTGTATAAATCATGATTTAAAGGCTTTAATGTGTTTGTCATTGTGTTGCAGTTGTTCCAATCTTTCTCAATCAGATTTCAAGGGAAATGATTGAGCAACACCCTATATCCTGTTATGATTATTTACTTGATGGGTAGGTAGAGTGTTGCCAACCCGGAACAAACAAATGAAGCTTGCTCTGCTCCTGTTCTTTATATCGTCTGATTCAGTGATCTGCAGAGATAAGGTGAAGGCTTTGTGTTCCCTTTTTCTCTGGGTTTTGAATGTACTATAAACGTCTTCTGTTTTGTCACCTCTCTATTTTTATGGCCATCCTCTCTGAAATTTAATTTCTGCTCAACAATTAAGAATTCAGAGATCAGATCCTAGACCTGTCTAATGTATAGATTGGGGACCTGTTGTGATAAAGCCCTGCACCTCTTATATGTCCTCTGAAACCAAAACCATGACACCTTTATAGTGAAAATTATGGTGTAAGTAGCCTCCTGACACACATAATCCCAGCTGCTTAGAAGCTTATCCTGTTCCCATGGAAGTCAATTATAAAACTTACATTAATGTCAATAGAAGCAGGATAAGACCTTTACTTTGGCTGGGGATCTTACATGTTAGGGAACCCCAATCAGGGTTTTTATCCTGGTTTGGGGGAATCCAGTGTTAATGACAGTGTCACTTGCCCCAAAATAAGTAATCGAGGGAGTGAACCGTATGCTTGCCTTCAGCTGAGTCAAGTATATTTTGGACATTGAAGGAAAACTGTACATGTGACAGGGAGGGTGGGGGAGTTACTGTGATGTTGACAGACCCAATCAGTATAATAACTTCTGTGTATTCAAAAGTACCCATCAGTGACTATATAATGCTGTAGCTTTCTGACATTGCGCTAGTGTGATTATTAGTTTAGGTTTTTAGGAGTCTGATTCTCACCATCTAACTGTCATCCAAAGGGTAATGGAGATGGATATAATGTTCTGAGCTTTATAGGCTAAAACATTTACGTTAAAACCCTTTTTCTGTATTTATTACATATTACATTGTCCCCTACATGTGGAAATCCATTGCTTATGTTACCCTACTAACTGTGTGGACAGTACACATGCATGCTTAAATATTAATGGCTGTAGTACCAGGCATGCCCACCTTTTTGCTCTCTTGCTAAGAATACGGTAGGTTTTGTTTTCTAAAGTGCCATGTGTTAATAGTATTTCAAG